TTGGCTTCCTCAGGATGGTGAGATTTTCATTCTATGAAACTCTGCATGGCATGTGTGACAATTTTAGGAAGAATCTAGAACAGAGATTTGAGAAGAGAATTGGGTATAGGCTTCTGAATCACAGAGGACGGGGACCACAGAAGGCATACTGCTTTCTTGAAAAAATTTTCTATTTTTTTTTTAGACCGAATCTCAAGCTGTCACCCTGGGTAGAGTGCTATGGCATCATAGCTCACAGCAACCTCCAACTCCTGGGCTTAAGCGATTCTCTTGCCTCAGCCTCTCAAGTAGCTGGGACTACAGGAGCCCGCCCCAACACCAGACTTTTTTTTTTTTGAGACAGAGCCTCAAGCTATCTTCCTGGGTAGAGTGCAATGGCATCACAGCTCACAGCAACCTCCAACTCCTGGGCTCAGGCAAGTTTCCTGCCTCAGCCTCGCAAGCAGCAGGGACCACAGGTGCCCACCACAATGCCTGGCTATTTTCTGGTTGCAGCTGTCATTGTTGTTTTTGGATTTGAACCCACCACCTTATGTGTATGTGGCTGGTGCCTTAGCCACTTGAGCCACAGGCACCTAGCCGTCACCCAGCTATTTTTTGCTATAGTTGTCATTGCTGTTTAGCAGGCCCAGGCCAGGTTCAAATCCGCCAGCTATGGTGTATGTGGCTGGCGCTAAGCCGAGAAAAATTTCAAAGTGATACTAACAAAAAGAGATTCACAGTGCAAAATATAGAGGCCACTGAGATGTTTAAGTTAGTCTTTGCCAGCCAGGTGCAGTGGCTCATGCCTGTAATACCAGTACTTTGGGAGGCTGAGGTGGGTGGATCGCCTGAGCTCATGAGTTCGAGACCAGCCTGAGTTAGAACGAGACCCTGCCTCTGAAAGTAGTAGTCCCTGCTACTTGGGAGGCTGAGGCCAGAGAATTGCTTGAGTCCAAGAGTAATGACACCATGGTATTCTACCGGGGACAACAAAGTGAGACTCTGTCTCAAAAAAATGAAAAAAGATAGTCTGTCCCACAGAGACCGTGAGGCATGGGAGTCAGATACTCACACAGATATTTAGGGAAAAAGACAGAACTGGCACCATGTATACATGGACAGCTCCTCCAGTCCCAGAGGTACCCTTCCTAGATGAGGAGTTATCTGGAAAGGCTTCCAGTAGGGGGGTATTACTCATGGAGGTATAGGGAAGTGGGACCTGCGCAGTGGCTTGCATGGCTGAATGGAGGGAGTGGTCAGCACTGCCCTTCTGTGGCATCTCTTGTTTCTTCATCAGATACAGATTTTAATGATTGTCATTCCTCCCTCACAGGACAGGGAGGTTTGGGAAGTGTGTATATCCTTGGTAGACACAAAAAGGTGGTTGTCCATGGTGTTGCCTCATGAACCACATCAAATGAGGCTGAGAGGGAATGACACACAGTCACAACCCAACCGATCACAGGTCTCTAAGCCTCCCTCCTCACCCTCCAAATGGAGGCAGAGTCATAACCTTGCAGGCACTACTGCAGACAGCAAGATGAGCACAGTGCCCAGCATGCAGTAGATGCTAGGACTGCCTTTTCTGTTCTTTAAATTATGTCAGAAAGGCTGGGTGTGGTGACTCACGCCTGTAATCCCAGCACTCTGGGACACTGAGGTGGGTGCCTGAGCTCACAGGTCCAGAGCTCCCTGTGTCTAAAAATAGCTGGGCATTGTGGCAGGCGCCTGTAGTCCCAGCTACTTGAGGAGGCTGAGGCAAGAGAATTACTTGAGCCCAAGAACTGGAGGTTGCTGTAAGCTATGAAGCCATGGCACTCTACCGAGGGGGACAAAGTAAGACCGTATCTCCAATAAATAAATAAATAAATCATATCAAAAAAAATCCAGATACACCCCACACAAAACTGATCATTTCTTCTTTAGATTCTTCAGTACTTAGGTATACTCTGAGACAGCAAAGTTCAAATCCTGACTCCACCATTTATTGGCTGTTTGACCTTCAATAAGTTTCTTACTCACTCTGAAGCCGGTTTCTCATCTATGAAGGGGGAGTGATAACTCCTACCTAATAGAATTACTGTGAGGTTTAAGTGCAATAATATGTGTCTAATACTCTACTTGGCAGAAAATATTGCAAAAGTCAGGCCTATGTTTATAGAGTTCCTTGAATGAACGTCTTACTCATTCCAGGTAGCCTCATATCCTTGTAGTTGGCCTGGCATTTGGGTAGGTGCCAGATTGTTGAATTGAACTACCTGTTTCACTATGTTAGTATCCACTCCAGACTTCCTTCCAGGAAATTTACCCAGGACTCCTCCTAGGTAGGGCAGGCCACATCTCACATCGGGTACCTTACTTCCCTCTAACTCATTCATTCCACAAATATTTCTTTCTTTTCTTTTCTTTTCTTTTCTTTTTTTTTTTTTTTGAGACAGTCTCACTATGTTGCCCTCAGTAGAAGGCTCTGGCATCAAAGCTCCCAGCGACCTTAAACTCTTGGGCTTATGCGATTCTCTTGCTTTAGCCTCCCAAGTAGCTGGGACTATAGATGCCTGCCACAATGCCCGGCTATTTTTTTGTTGCAGTTGTTTAGATGGCTCAGGCCAGGTTTGAACCTGCCACCCTTGGTGTATGTGGCTGATGCTGTAACCACTGTGCTTCGGGTGCCAAGGCTAGGCTGTTATCTCTTTCTCTTGATTTCTCTGAAGGCCAGATAAAACTAAGTTTTGATTTTGGTGATGTAAAATTTCAGTATAAGTGATCCTATTTTGGTTTTAGTTTGGTGTATTGGGACCTAGTGAAGAAGCTCGGGTCAAAACGATGACTTCCTATAATTTTTTTTTTTTTTTTAGAGACAGTCTCACTTTATTGTCCACTGTAGAATGCTATGGTGTCACAGCTCACAGCAACCTCCAGCTCTTGGGCTTAGGAGATTCTCCTGCCTCAGCCTCCCAGGTAGCTGGGACTACAGGTGCCCGCCACAATGCCCAGCTATTTTTTTGTTGCAGTTTGACCAGGACCGGGTT